TGGCCTCCCTGATCCAGCGCTGATGTTTGTTGTCTTCTGTGCGGATGACTTTGGCATTCCCCCAGTCCATGATGTGGTTCTCCCTTTTGCAATGATCTGTTATGGCTGATTTGTAATTTTCCTGTTGTGCCTTTTCTTTTATGGTCCGGGTTTGTCTTATTGCTGTCTCCTTTTCACACTCCTTCTTATGTTCGCTCTTCCTTGTAGAGAAGCTCCTCCCTGTCTCCCCAATATAAGACACATGCCTTTTTGCGGAAATGTGTCTAGTTATTTATGCAATTGTTCATATTATATATTTATATGTTTATATAATAATAAAGCTGTTACTTTTCCAACCCAATATGCAAATGGATACATTAATATTTAGGCTAAAAACTTTTAAAACTCTGGCAAAACTTTAATACAAGCAACTGTAGAGGTATTGGTAAAACCTCCACAAGGTTACTTGTGTGGTTGAATGAGCTATTGGGACATTTTATGTCATGTCTCATGTCATGCTTTAAAGGTCTGTTAATTGCACTTTGTTTCCTTTGAAGTTAAGAAGTTTGATATTTTTCATATCAAAAGTCCCTTAAGTCCCATCCATTCATCCATCCATTGTCCAACCCGCTTATCCTACTGGGTCGCGGGGGGTCCGGTGCCTATCCCGTAAGCAACGGGCACGAGGCAGGGAACAACCCTGGATGGGGGGCCAGCCCATCGCAGGGCACACTCACACACCATTTACTCACACATGCACACCTAAGGGCAATTTAGTAGCGCCAATTAGCCTCAGCATGTCTTTGGGCTGTGGGGGGAAACCGGCGTACCCGGAGGAAACCCCACAACGACACGAGGAGAACATGCAAACTCCACACACATGTGACCCAGGCGGAGACTCGAACCCAGGTCCCAGAGGTGCGAGGCAACAGTGCTAACCACTGCACCACCATGCCACCCCCCTTAAGTCCCACAGAGTGATTATTTTTTTTATTGTGTGCACACAAGTTATTTGAATACATATATTTAGACAATAAAAATACTGTTAGACAATGATAGACAGTAACAGTAATTATTATTATATAAAAAAATACATTTAAAATAAAGATTTCTTATTAATTATTTTAATATTAATAATAAACCGTTAATACGTTTAATTATAATAATATTGTTGTGCCGAGCGGGGACGGAACGGAGACAAAGGCGCAGATGTTAGGGTATCTGGGAATACGGGGTTTAATTACAGGTAAGGCAGGCAAAACGGAGACGGACAATACAATGACCGGACTGGAGGAAAAAACTGAAAAGCGGGCGAAATACAGAGGACTAATGACAACAACCAGAGACAGCTGATCACACGGGGATTCCACACGGGGCTAACGAGGGGGCGTGGCACACAGAAGGAGCGGATAATCGGGGCAGGACACATTATTTTCTTACTTTACAAATTACTGTTTTGATAAATGTGCAGATGTGTTTAGTAAAGTATATGTTCTTCTTGTTTTATCCGGTTTTTGTGTTTAAATGCTAAAGAAAAACATATTTAGGTGTAATTTTTTGGGGCTGGGAACCAATTAATTGGTTTTCCATTATTTCTTATGGGGAAAATTCTATCACAACTCGAACTTTTTAGGATTCGATCCGGAGTTCTGAACTGTATTTGGAAGGAACAGGTTAGCTGCATATAGCTGTCATGTTGTAAGAGGTTTATTTCAGCATGCCATACTACGTTTGCTAGACCTGGCATTAGGGTACAATAAGATACAACAGCCTTGTAATTAATATTACTGGAAGGAGTAAATACAACACTGCCGCGCACTACTTTGACATTAAGGCTGAGGTATACAGTTTGTGTGAATGGTCGCGACAGAGGTGAAGTGTCATGAACAATACTTTTTTCTTTCATTAATCGGTAGTCAATAATAAAACAGGTATAAACAGGTACAATAAATACAATAAACAGGAGTCAGTAATGACAAGAAATGTTAGGGAAACTTGGTGACAGATTATGTTTGCTACTTTAATCGGTTTGTTCACCTCACTGAGTTCAACTAAGATTTTTTTATATTACTGACACCTATTTATTGTATTTACTGTACCTGTTTATCATAGTGTATTATTATGATTACCGATAATGACCGAAGTATTGTCATGTCGCATGAATTCATGTCGCTTCACCTCTGTCGCGACCATACACACGGACTGTATAATTCAGCCTTAATGCCAAAGAAACAGTTTGCAGCATTAAAAAAAAATGGAAAATGAGTTCATGGTGTTACTTGTTGACTGTAAATGAATGCCTCTCCAGTTCGATTTGTTTAGACGCTGAGACATAATTTTGGTAGACATAGTTTTCATATTACTCTCGGCCTCAAACACACAGTAAATTATCTTGTGCGCACAGAATAACTTGCGAGCACAAGAAAATAATTTGTGCGCACACAATTTTTAAAAAGTCACCTTATGGGACTTCGGGGGCTCAGTATATTAAAGTGAGACCATGTAATAACATGGTTATCTAAATAATAAAATTAACATATGCTATTAACTTCCCTTCTTGTAGAATTAAAATAAATTATTAACGTCCGTTTCCAATGTTAATAATATAATTTCAATCGATCACCAAAATAATAAGTATATACTTTAAAAGACTTGATTTCTGTTCGGTTGAGTTAAAGTCCGGGCTGTGTGTGACGATTATGTGATATCTGGTACCACCTCCATGGCATGTTTGCATAACGTCATGTCCGGATTCGCTTGTGGAGGTCACGTGTTTCCGTCCCTCTAGTGGAGATCCTCCTGGTGGAGGTCTGCAGCCAGACCCTTCTCAAAAAACTGAGGGGCAGCGTTAGTGTTCAATTTGAATACCACAAAAAACACATGTAAAATGAGAGTTGTCCTGCGAATGATTGTACAAATAGATTTAACACGAAATAGGAGATGTCTTTTTAGTGATTGCCAAAAACTAAATAAGTATAGGACGTGGATCGGTCATGCATGGCCGATACCTGATCCGTCAAATAGGTCTGGATCGGTGCATCTCTAGTTTTTTTCCAGTGGCAAACATAATTATCGTGACAGGCCTAGTTCAGAAACAAGCTTTACATTTCAACACATACTCAGCAAGCAAGGGGATTCCAGGAAATACCATAATTTTTCTGGCAGATAAATCTGACTATAAAACTCAAATACAAAAGTCTTCCCCGAACAGATTGAGTCCAGGCAGATGAAACATGATTGTTTTTATATTGAATGGATTTTTCATCCCTAAAGATATATATCTCTGTGACATTTGAAATAACAGTGGAAAGGCTCTTTTCACCTGTGGTCCCTCTACAAGCTCGTCCAACACAAACAGCACGTCCTTCTTCCAGGTACCCAGTGTACACTCCGTCCATTGGCTCTCTGATGTTCCACAGCCAGTGTAATCAAACCTGCATGACGCCACACATCTTGGTGACAATACTGCCCTATGTTCAGTGGTGGAGGAAGTACTGAAGCTTAGTACTTAAGTAAAAGTACAAATATCCTGCAAAATATGTACTCAAGTAAAAGTAGAAGTGCTACATCAACAATCTTACTTAAGTGAAAGTACTAAGTACTTACTTTTAAGTTTACTTTAAAGTATTTTTTT